CCTTTGCATAACTTCAATCTTCAGAGGGTGTATGTGTAGGCCCTCTGAGTGGAACATCTGCGTACCTTCAATCTGAAAAATGCCAGACAAGTAATGCGTGTCACTACGCTACAACAATGCCTACAGAAATACATGGTGTGAAACCACGTCTTCGAAGCCGAGGTCCAGAAGCAGTATGGGACAGGACTACTACACGTCCGTGGTGTCCGCAGTTTTAACCTGTTTATAGACCCAATAATTGAGCAAATCAAAACTGACATTCATTATGCCCAGTGTATCCAGTTTAGATAAAGACTTTTAGAAAAACCAACAATTAAGATCATGATAGGATGATACCCACATAAAACATGGAATTGGGGATTTCTTAAATACCTAATTGTTTAATGTTTGGTTGACGAGGAAATCAAAGAGTTCTCCAAGGTGTTGTGGTTCCTGCTGGTGGAATAAAGGTTTCTTGACTCAGCATTTGTAAAAGCCCTGGCTATCGGCCTGCCTGTGAACTTGGGGAGAAAAACAAATGCATCCATGGTATTGGCAGGCTTCAATAACCTATTTGGACTGCGTCTAAGCCTGGTGAGGAAGATGGTTTTAATGTTAATCGCGATCCGAGAAAGCAGAAGATCTAACTTACCCTTTACCATTGATAAAAGCCACACGGACAATCCCGCTTGGCTCAGACCTGCTGAAAACCTCAACGTGGCCAAACGAGCCTCTCTGGAACAACCCAGGTCACTGGGAACCACTGGGCCCCTGCCCAGCTTTTGTGTAGCCAGCTCCGCTAAATGATCAGGGGGCCACTGCTGTGTGTGTCTGTGTGTGGTGTGTGTTTTGTGTGTGTGTGTGTGTGTGTGTGTTAAAGGCATACACCCTGCTCTCATGTTGGTGAGAGCAGAGGCCCGGTCCTTCACTCTCTGGTGACCGTTGTCCAACGTCCCCCTTTCCTCCTCTCCCTAGCTCGTCTTCTTTCTTTTCCGTTCCGACCCCCCCGTTCTCTTTTTCTCACTACAATGTCTTTTGTTTTCATTTTCGTCCCCGGCCATTTTTGCTCCGTCGTGTGTTCAGGTCCTAAAACTGCAGTTCTTGACTTGCGGCACGCAGGCCATTGGAGAAGAACAGCCAAGGCTCGTTCCCAGGCTCGCTCACAGGTCTCTGCATTCGCCACTGTTGTGGGCCGTGCTCCACAAATGCACTAATTGCGGATGCACATTAAGGCGGTCGAACCAGCTTCGACATTGCCCCGCTGTCGACATACATCACCAGGCAAATGAATTCACAGTCCTGAGCCATCCCAGGGCTCTTCAGACAATATGCCATAATTCACTCAGGCCAGGGTTCACATGCCACGCTTCTTCTTATTCACAAATGAATCTGTTTTCTTTTTTCTCTCCCAGCTCCATTTTGAGGTTCGAAGGTCGTAACCTTGACACACCGCCCGCAAAGCTGAACCGTTATCCGCGTTCAAGCTTGTCATCTGAGCAAACTCCTAAAAAACTCCGTGTTGGCAAGTCCGTCAACCCGAAGGTCCAGGTTAGCGCTGTTCGAAGCTTTTCGATCATATTCAAACATCTTCGTCTTCCTCCAGCAGAATGGAGTTTAACTCCGGTGGTCTGAAATTTGTCAGTGGGGCGCGACGAGAATGTAAAAAAATCCCATTTTAATTTCAGTTGGCTTGGATACGCAGAAGTCCATGAAAACAGAACTAACACCTCAAACTTTCATGGACGACTGGGAAACAACAGAGGAGATTGTGCTGATATGACTGGAACTATGACACCACTGGCGTTTAACTTTAACACTGCATTCTGTATTAATAAACCTTATCTATTTCTTTTATCTCACAAAGTACAGGTGTCAAACATCTAAATGCACGTGAGTAGCAGCGTCTCGTATTCAACTTACATTACTTGGGTACATGTTTTCTTAGTTAACTTATCCGCAATCGGAATGCGGATCGAAAGCTCTAGAACAGCTGCTAAATGGACCTAGTGGCGAGCTGGTTCACATTCCTGCATCACTGACCCACGACTCCCACCTTTCCCCTCCGTAACCTGGGTTGGTCAGTCACTTCTGGGACGACCCAGTTTCTTGTGAGACCCCACGTGGGGCTCGAGTCAGACAGGGTCCAAAGTGTATTTAGTGTAATCAGATCTGGTAGGGTCCTGTTCTGTGGCTGCTGATCTCAGGTCTGTGTGTCTAATACCTGAATGGATCCTGACTCTGATCACATTTTTTTTTTAGGCGGACTCGCAGCGTAAACCGTGAAGAAGAATGCCGTGTTTGTGTGCTCATTAACTCGGAGCATCATGCTGCTGCCACCGCTGGTCGTTTTCATTCTGTTTGGGTTTGTTCAGGTTGACTGCATCTGGGATTGGGTCTAATTATCCTCTGGTGTATGTCGGACAGGTTTTGACAGTCCTCGATTGGATTGATTTATGCAGCTTGAGTTCTGGGATTGGTCTTCCATTTGTTTGTTACGGATCGGTTTCAAAAGCCCTCTACAGGCAGGTGCTGAGCGTGAGCCTCAAACTATCACATTTTAAAGCAACACTCCCTGATTTTGTTGCCAAGCCCGTAAATCCCTTAATTTTGTCTGAACTTGCTGCTGGTGTTAGTTGTGAATTACGCCATAAGACATGACTATTTTTGCAATTTTTGCTTTCTCCCACAATGTATTTGCAAAATGCCTAAAAACATTGCAACATGCATTGTAATTGTTTTAGAAAAGCTACTGTAAAATAATTTACAACAATCCCCCAAAGTGCCTGCAAAATCCTGCAGGGACTGATGTTTCATAATATCATTTCATGGGACCTTTAACACTCCTGTTTCCCAGTGATGGTGAGACTCTGACACGCTGTGTTGTTACAGATCGGTTAATTGGTGAGCTGTTGACATGGATGCCAGTGTGAAGGTGTACACATCAGGTTTAACTGTTAATGCTGAGGTGAGCAGTTTGCTTTCTTTCAGTTCTGGTTGCGATTTGCCCGGGAATGACACATCTGGGGCCAGATGTAAAAACCATGCTTACACACGAAAAGATGTATAAAGATCCACCCGCAGTGAGAATGTGCATACAGCTTTCACACCACATCGTCCTTTCAGTCTTTTAGTGCGAGTTGGCAAAAAGGGAAAAATAAAAGTGAGAATTTGGGTGAGACTTTATGACGAGCTGTATTCTTTCAGTGCACTGTGTTAGGATGCAATCTGTAGTTTAAAAACTAACACTAACATGGGCATGTGTGTTTGATTAACAACCTTTTTGACAACCCTTCATTTTGTCATGTTTGTCACTGCATTATGATAATTAATATATAAATAATCAAATAAATACATGATCTTTACATTATTGTCCTGTATTGTTGACAAATAAGAATAACCTTCAGGTGAGTGACCAATTAACAATTAACTGCCTCTGTTAATTGTTAATTGGTCACTCACTCTCCCATTCGCCTCCCTTCATTCTATTATGTTCATGCCAGAGTGTCGGGGTCCAAATAACACGTTTTTGTTACCACCATTACCTCCAGTTCACATCGCACGTTCTTCTTCTTCTTCAATGCTTCCGCCTTTTTCCCTCAAAACTAATCTAAATGCTGATCCTTCAAATGCTAATCAGGCAGTCGGGGTGTGTTTCAAGCCATTTATATTAAATTGTGAGAATGGTTTTAGGATGATTGAGCTGTATGAGGGAGAAACACGTGGGAACAGATGTACGTAAGGTTTGCTGCATATGCATGCTTCCTGTTTTGTGTGAGTTTTGTGGCCCCGGGTCTACTACAATTGACAAAACAATCCCACAGCAAGGTCCAATAGTAGCCGATCTGGATCTTTTGATCCTAACATAAGATCTTGCTCAACAGATGGAGGTTGAGGAACCTTACAATTCCAAGACAACTGGGCACATCTGCTGACAAAGACAGTGCTGTTGAACTATTTAACTAAAATAAACCCAAAGGAATATAAAAGCGGCAGAAGTTAAAGGAAGTCAAACCTAAATGTCCTCAGCAGAACAACATGAACATTTCTCCACACAGGATTAAAACACTTACTATTAAGAAGTTTGTCTTTATTGGCATCAGTGGCTAGCGGACAAATTGGAACAAAACCAGACAAGAGGAAGGGCTGATTAAATAAAAAAAACTCAACTTCCTGTACTTGCATAAGAGTTTGGCTGCAATGGAAGAAAAAAAACAGATTAAAAAAAATAACTTAAGTGCAAAAAAAGAATATTTTCAGTGCAGTTACCTTGCTTAAATACTGTACAATATATTCTTCTCTAACGCGTCAAGTAAAAACATACTGCAATGATCATAATGTGCCTGCAACATAAAGAGCATTTCCACTCATACACACTCCTGCTCTGATGTGACAACCTGTAAACACAGTTCAATGTACTCATCATCAACACTGACGCTCATTTTCACTCATAATATGGCCGTAAGATTTCACTGTAGATTAGTCACTGGGCGTCGTCACTCCAGAGAAAACATAACAACATATTCTTAAACCTGTTCAGATTTATGCTTCCAAATCCAGATGGAAATTATTATTATTATTAGAAAAAGGGGAGAAAAAATGAACAAACACACTGCATACAACAGGCAAAGAAATTAATACAAGTTTTAAAGTGATCAGATGCACAAATCAGCTACTGTCGCTACACAGAGGCAAACTACAGACCCTGCAGGTTTTAGGGGTCTGTTTTTGTTTTTTAGGTAATTTGTGTGCACACAAAACTAAACTAAACTCTAACTGCTGCTTCTTTGAGATTTGGGTTTCAAAGGCAAAATTTGACAACTAACATGATGATTATGATCGCTTCAGAGGTTTTTTTCCTTCTCTCGTTTACAATGTTACCGGTAAGTCAGAATGAATTAACGTTATATTATTATATGTTGATTGTTTTCGTAAAATATAGTGAACGACGAATCTATAACTGATCTAATGATGTGCAGGCATTGTACAATACCTGACGACCACAAGTGATGTTCTCCTCTTAGTGTAGCTACACTTAAAATTCTAAAGAGCAAATTCCACCCAGAAACCTTCAGCAACATCGTTACACGTAGGTTCAACAGGGCCCAAGAACACAAGTCTTAAACATGCCAAAAGCTTATCCAGATTATCTAAAGCACTTCATTTTCAGATGTACAGAATCAGATGTTTGTTGAACAACATTAACATCCCTTAAACATATTTTACAAACTAACAGTTTATTTAAATACACATTGTATTCATTCGTACTCTCGCATTAGCGATCTTAGGAGTACAGCCACCAACTTGGTTGGAGCTGTTTAGCTGCGTAAAGCTTCGAGCTTCGGCCGGTTGAGGCTATTTTTGGTGACAGAAAAGAGAACTATAGCTTTGGATTGTGGGGTAGGTTTGGTTCTCAAATTTGGCAGTACCAGTCTGGTTCAGCCAGGTCAGGTCTCTGTGCAGAGCTCTAATCTATGAGCACAAATAAAAACAAATCCCTGAAACCTGCCGGGCTCTGTGGTAAGCAAATGCACAGCATGATTTAAACAAAGAAAACACTTCACACAGTCAAAACACAAAAATACTTCAACCAACCTTTCCAGTATTTGTGCAGCAGGTACAATCAGTCAACAGTAACTTAAACATTTCATATTAATATCAGCTGACACAGCTGCAGGTTTTACCTTTCAAAATAAAATAAAAACAAAAAAAATGTAATCAGCTGACATCAGTGCACTTCTCCTGCCTTACTTTCAACTACACTAGGTTATTTAGTTTCAGTCTACACTATCCTTCATGCTTCATAAACATGAATCTCTGATTTTCTTTTTTACAAAAATACATATTCACGAATAAACCCATACCCGGGGTTTGTATCAGCTGCTGATCACAGCAACGTGTTCATTACCTTCAACATTAACATGTTTTTATAGCTCAAACAAGCTGAAAAAAAGAAGTTAAAGAGGTGACAGATGAGCGAAGAATTAACACTGAAATTAAGATAAAATCCAGCTGCGCCCAGACTTCAGTTTGTCAGAAAAGGAAATAAGAAGAAATAGCAGCTACATTTCCATCCACATCATTACAAATTCTACTATATCGAACTTTAAAGCTGCAGTCAGTGACTTTATGATGCTCGAGATTTTCTCCAAGCTTGTCGGATATTTAGAAACTTAAACATCAACTGTTGAGAAGCAAAATCAGGGAGTGCAGCTTTTAAAGATCCATGGAGGAATTGTTTACTCTCCCATAAGGTGTCATTTCTGAGTGTTTTGTTTGTAGAAAAAATAAAAACCTTATTGTATCCAACTATAAAAATTAACTTTAGTTTCCAACACCCACCAAAAACTTTAAACAAAACCAAAAACTGAATACAAAAATGATGATTAAATGATTTTCTGTGTTGATTTGACTGGAGATTTATCTACAACCAGCGGTCAGAAACAAAGCTGACTTTATTTTCCCAACATGTCTTTAAGATTTTGCCGTAACACAGGATGGAAACACAGCCGGTGCAGCAGTGTTCAGAAAATGTAAACCAAAGTGTTTCCAGACCTTTACACATGAAAGCAGTGGGTTAGAAAGGCCATCTAGGTTGCATAGAGATACTAAAAGCTAAAGCTGCTATCATGTTCAATAGATTCTGCATGAATAAAGCACAACAGGAAGTAGAATCACAGAGGAAGAGAGGAGGGGAAAGGCAACAATGAAAATAAGTTACAGTATATTATTGCCCCTGTTATTTTACAGTTAGAGTGATGGAGGGAAGAGAGTGTGCTCAGACGGACGGACACAGTGTCCCTTTTGAATTAAAGTCCTTTACATTAAAAGAACACTGGGAAAACGAGTGAAATCGGTGAGTTAAACAACATCTTTCATTCCACATCTACAAGTGAAATGAGTCGGTTCGAGGAGAATGAGACCTGATAAAGGAGAGACGGAAACAGGATGGAGGGATTTCTATTCTTCAATCACAGCTATCACTTTTAATTATTTTATTATTATTAGTTGGTAAAACATTCCAACCTAAAGGCTCCAGTTAGAGCCGATGTGAACCCAAAATCTAATCAAATACTCCCCATGAAGACTTGAATATGACATTTGTGTTTTGTTTTTCGTAGTGTCTGGTTCAGTCAGTTACAATAGACTTCAGTGGCGACATGATGTCACGGTTGGGCAAAAAGTAGCAAAATGTCCCCAGGATCTCATGAAACTGCAGCGTAATCCACTTTACGGTCATCTAGCAAAAAAGCTGACTCAATGTGCAAGCGTCACTTTATAACATGAACACTGTGTTTCTGCTGTGACGAAAGAGAGTTGTAAAATCCTGTCTCAGAGTACGATAGAGCACTCTGCAGTGTCAAAGGAGCCCTAAAACGCATCAATCTGATACTCAAACTGGACTTCCTGGATTGTTTTCCATCCTCTCGCCAGTACCTAAACCAATCGACCTGCGAGTCTCCTGGAGCTCACGCCAGAACAGGAAGTGCATCCTTGGATTTATCCCTTGCCCAGGCTTTCGAGGAATTGTATTCAGCCACATTACAGCAAATATAATGGTTTGTTTGGAACGTGGTGAGCTTACAGATGGACAGTGAAACAGTGGACTGTGCTGCAGGAGGGGTCTGAACAGTTTCTATTGATGTTGAAAAGGATAGGTTCACAGTCCGTCTTAAAACAATACTTAAATGCCTCTACCCAAGTGTGTTTGTGTTTTTTTCTCGCTGTAATCTTCCTCCTGTCCATGCCTTTCAATGCAGGTGATGGAAGACAAAATCCACAGCTCTCGTTCTGTACAAAAATAAGTTTATCTGGAATTAATGAGGCTTTAGCGGTCTGAATTATACAAATCATCTGGATATCTGCCAATCAAACAGCAGATTTAGAGTGTCACGGGCCAGACTGAACCTATCCTTTAATATTTGATTTCATTGTAACTGACATGAATCCAAGCTGACAGCAGCTGCTACTCTCTGTATGGAGGGAGTCTATAAATGTTTTACAGCTACTTTTTCAAGGCGTGAGACTTTAATACTGAAATGGTTTTGGGTGCTTTAACATGAGTAGAGCTACGAATAATGATTACTTTCATCATAGATTAATTCTCAGGTAATCAGTCTGTAAAGACAAAAAACACCATTACATGTTCTCAAGGGCCAAGTTGACATTTTCAATAAGCCTTTTTTTTTGTTCGGCTTATAGTCACACACATTACAGAACCTAGAACACTGGCTAATTGTTTCAACACTAAACTTTAGTATGCCCGGTGGAAGTTGTTAGTTAGAATAAACCACCAAAATGTTTCAAATATTAGTAGAAATTTCTCCGGTTTATCTGCTGTGATTTCATGCATTCAACCCCTGGAATGAGAAATAAGTGAAGGGAGTGATGTGGTGAGAGGATGAAAGCAGAGGGTTCCCTCTTGACATGAATGTTGGACTACAAAATACACATAGTTGAGTCTGTAAAGCCTGTTGCAGCAGTCCTTCAGTTGGTTTTCTCCCTGCTCTTTACAGTAGGACAAAGGGGGGCTTTGCTCAGGTGTGTGTGTGTGTGTGTTAGCAAGTACACACACACATAAACACAAACCTGACGATGGATCAGACGCTCTGAGCTCGTCCTCAGGTCAAAACTGTCACCAAATCTGTCCTGGAGTCACACACACACACACACACACACACATCAGAAAAACAGGCACTTTGTCCAGAGTCGTGGCCTGGTAGCGCCTAACTGTTACTGCATGTGTGTGTGTCTGTGTGTGTGTCTCAGGTGTCTTGGTAGGGCAGGTAAAAGCACCCGGGGCTGTCGTCATCGGGCGACCAGAAGGAGGACGGCCTCTTGTGGTGGAGTTCCCGGCGAACGCAGCGAGGACACGGCTGAGCTTTCTGCCGGCACTCGGCGTGGAACACGGCGCCGCAGCCGTCACACCTGCGAACACAGCGGCAAACACACTGCTGAGACCTGGGAACATGACAACAGTCTAAACAAAAGTGCTGCGGTGGGACAAGAAACACGAGTGGTCAGCAGACAGTGAGAGAGATGGTTGACCCAGGCTGCCCGTTGTAAACATCCATCACAGGTTAGAGTGTCACTTCCTGCTTCAACTTTGACCTTCAGTACCTGGTTTTCCTGTACATTTCAGGCGTGCTCACTTTCAGCTCGACCTCCAGATAAAGTGTTTCAGCTTGCGTCACAGTGTTACAACAGTTACCCTGGAAACTATGGCTCAAACTACAAATATACTACAGTAGATTACAAACTTAATTTCAGCATTAATCCGTTAAATATGCTTTATTGCTCATTTCCTGTACCCTCAGTGTCTGAGTAACTAAGTCAACAGCTCAGCTCAGTTCCAGTAAGTACAGTAGACACAGCTGTTATCAGTTAACACTTCACACTTCCTTCACTAGTCATAAAACACAACTCAACAAGCAAGGTGTGTATGTGTGTGAGTGATAGTCCAGAATGTTTCAGTGCTTCTAGGAATCGGTCCTGATCAGCTCTTATCTCTCTGCTGTCTGTCACTCTGAGTTTCAGTGACAAGGACGAGGCTCTGGACTGTGTTAACTGTCCATGTCGTGAATAATCTTCTCACGCACGCAGAGCTCTCTCATGCCAACCAGTGTCACTAACAAGCAGCAGGCTAAGTTCTGTTGGCCAGTGAGAGAGCTCTTGCTCACGTACACATTTCATCTCTTTGCTTTGTGTCAGACACAGTGGAGGTGAATGGGTTATGCTTCTCCCAGCATTGCAATATGATATTTGTTTTCATATTCAGCTGAATAATCCACTGACCTCAGTATAGTCTGTTTTCATAGGGACGATGGTTTTGATAAACTGTTCACAGCATGTTGGGTAACCAGAACATTGCTTCTGCAAGGAGATGTTGCTGTTCATTTTGTTTCCATGATGTGTGCTCCACGGATTCCATTCACTTCCATTTTATTGCGGCAGAGGCAGAACTCTCAGGGACAGATGTAGTAAAAAACACAAAAATAAAATCAAACTACCTGCAGGGCGAGATACCACGAGAGGGAAGTTGAAAAATGTCTGTTTTTTTTCATCATGTGGACGAAACGACCCATCAGCCCTCAAACAGCCCTTTGATGAAGTCAGTTACAACCAAAATGTCTTCACTCTCAGGGTCTCACACTTAATTTGGTCCTCACAAAGACAGAAGTATATGAGCAAGCACTCAAACATACACATACTCAACCTGAGGGGCTGAAACTAAAGTAAATGCAGCTACTAGTTCAGGCAGTGACGTTATTACTGATGTGTCCTCTCACTGCTGTGACCTTCCCTGTGTCTCTGTACTGCTGGACTTTTATACAGACACTTTGCTTTTAGGGGCACTCCTCTTAATACAACTCATCACCTTGTGAAGAACCTCTCCAGGCACTTCTGCTGACACAGATTCAATTCAAGACAAACACACATTACATTGTAAACGAGCTACAGTTTGTACAGTCTGGTAGCTCACCTGGTGGAGGCTGGCACCCCATGTACCAAAGGGAGACTCCTTGCTACAGCGGCCACGGGTTAGACCCCAACCTGTAGCCCTTTGCTGCCTGTCCCCCTTTTCCTGTCACTCTTCAGCAGTCACTATCCATTAAAGGCAGTAAAAGCCCCACAATTATTAGTTTTTTAAGTGTGTACTAACTTTGTACTGTTTGTGAATAAAAACACTCTCATGGTCAAACTTTGTAAACTAAAGTGAGGCATTTGCTCCATGTTCAATCTGCACCTTTAAAGGTCAATAATTTTAGATAGAAGCCTGTATGAAAGTTGCACTGTTCCTCAATCAACACCAGGAGATCATAAAAAGTGACACTCTTGATGGCACTGAATCAAGTCTTGTGCCGAACGGTGATAAAAGTGTTTGTGTCTATATACTCCAGTGCTTGTTCTGCTTTGTGATGTTTATTTTACATTGAAACATGGCTCTGTTCAGTTACATTTGCTGGGAGCTATCAGATGTCAAATGTATAGAAAGGTTCTCTGTACCTCTTGGTGGCGCTCTCCTGGAAGGGGTAGATGACCTGTCCGTTGTGGCAGAGCTCACAGATGAAGCCTTTCTCTCGACAAAGACTGCAGCTGAAAACGTGCGAGCTGGCGAACTTGATCACTTTGGACAAGAAGGGAGCCAGTTTTCCATCAATCACCTGGAGTGAGAGGAGAGAAGAGGGGGAGAAAGGACATGGTGAGCAACCTCAAATGCCAACATTAACTCTGTGAAACTCTACATGGGTCTGCATTAGTGTGGATGAAATATGAGAAACTGAAATGCCAATCAAGGAATCTATTTTGAAGACCCTTCCTTAAGAGCAGTTTACACTCCGTACAAATATGTTCTCCTCTGTCTTAAGGATACAAGTAATTGCAACAAGGTGATTAAAGGTGGTAAAGCATGCATGACGGGGACAAAGTCCAGTTACTGTTTGACAAAGGATCAGAGTGGACACGCTGATTGATGATATTCAGCTACATATAATTAATGTTTAATATTAAAGTAGAAAGCAATTAATTAATAGAGACTAACAATTGACAAGGGGAATGTCCCAATAGATCTTTTTCTCAGCAGCCATTTTGACATGAAATAGTAGGGTAAACACAGGTGTTACCAATGATACTAAATAAGGTTCTGTTGTATAGCAGCAGTCAGCAACCATTTTGGCCAAAAAAAGAAAAATCTGTCTGGAGTAACAAAACATATTAGTTTTCTTGCCACAGATCAATCATACCAATTAGCCAAAAGTGTTGGTGGTAGAAGCAAATTAATCTGTCCATGCACTATTAAATTCTTTATTTCCCTCCCTTTTTTGGATTTGCCTAACTAGGGACACTCAAGACTATTAGCCAAGTTTATTAGCAAGTTATTAGCCAAAGAGGCACCAGGACGTAACGTAAGATTCATATTTTAGTTTACAGAACATTAAAACATTTCAACATTTGGTGTGTAATAGCTACACAATATTACAACGGGGGAATGTAAGAATCACTTTAGGCCTACAACAATGAAAAAAAATAAAAAATAAGTGTTATTCATTTCAATATGATTTTTTGTCAAAGCAACAGGAAGCTACTGGACAGGGGCTAAAGAGCCGCATGCAGCTCCAGATTTGCAGGTCACCTACCACTGGTCTACAGCCTAAGGCAGCTGTTTGCCAAGGGAAAGATTTGGCCTACAGAAAGTCAGATTGAGAGATACTAAATACACGCAAAAGTGGTCTTTGGCATGTTTCACTGAGGCAGTGTGAACGGAAGAGACCTGGTAATGTTTAAACGTGTGCAAAAAAAACAGAACTTTTTGTGAAAAGGGAAGAAACATGAGGAAAAAAGGAGGAAAAACTGGATGAAAATTACAATTAGGAGACCTGGTCGGTTTTGAGATCAGTTAAAAATGTCTTTATTTTCAATGAATTCTTTTAAAACCACTACAAGAAAGAAAAATGTCAAAGTAAAACAGGAGGAGAGGAAACTGAAGGAAGGAAGGAAAGAAGACAGTAAATGAGGTGAACGCCTTTTAATGGCAACGCTTGGCAGGTTCCTTAAAGAACTGGGGCGGAGGGGGGGTTGGCGGCGGGGGTCTGGAGTTATATTCTAGTGAATAGACACTGGATGACTCACAGGAAAAAAACAGTGAAAAGAAAAGCCCGCAGAATGTTACAGAAATAAAAACTCAATATGGTTGTATCATGTTAATAACGAAGACAGAGCAATACACGTAATGAGAGAGTGCATGTAAGACAGGGAGGGAGAGCGTAAGGGAGAAAAACAGAGTATAAAGTATGAGAAAGAGTGGTAGAGATACAATATGCAAGAGAGATCTTGAGAGAGAGCGAGAGCCTGTATTCAGATACAAGTGGTTCCACCTGGCAGAGCCCTGGACCTCCCAATTATAACCTCCTTCATGCTGTTTGTTACACGACGAGGACGAGAGGAGAAGAGGAGGACATGAGATGGAGAGAGGAGGAAGAAGCCACACACACAGAGGAAACATTGCACACTGAGGTATACTGGTCCTGTTTACAGTAAATCATGCGCCAGTGCCCAAGTCAATTAGACTTTACACTGAAGGCTTTTACCATAACAACCCATACTGGGCCCTAATGTGCAATCTATGATATCAAATGATCAGTCTCAGACCAACAGGAGAGGGATGTTTCAGACCAATATCTCACTGAAACAGGATCTATTCCTGGCGGTTTCGTCAGCCTCTGGCAGGACTTGTTGGGCTCCAGATTTACAGTAAAACAGTTCAGGGCTGCAGCCGCGGGTCATTCATTTTGTGTTGTAGTACAAACATGAGAAAACAAGCAATTTGCTACGAGAGCTAAAATGTGTCCCAATATCAGATCAGACGGCTGTTTCCCAGGTTGGAGAAACCACTGTCCAATTAGAGCTTTGTAGGTTTGATAAAGAATGAATGAATGAATTCCTGCACAGCCACATCCATGACTGTTATGGATGAGTTGAGAAATAACACCTCAAAGATGAAGATGTCAAAGATGCTTTTGCTCTTTGACTACGTTATATGGTTCACTGATACACAGTGCCTGCCCTTTTTCCAACAACCAGAGGTGACAAACGTACACACATTCTTTACTCAAGTAGAAGTACAGATACTTATGTAAAAAAAAAAATACTGATTCAACTTCTTTAATCAAGTAATTGTGGAAAAGTACAGGCTCTGAAATCTAAGTATAAAGATTATATAAGTATAAAGTAAGTATAAAAGTAAAAAGTAAGTTGGTTTCTCTGAAGGACCAGCTGTTTCTGTGCAAAGACATCAGAGGGTTAAGTCTCACTCTTTCTCTCGTCTTGTTATGCTGTCATGTGTGATATGCTCTGGTCTTAATGTTGGGAAGGCATGCAATGATGCAAAAAAATAATAATCGATTATTAGTTGGAAAATTTAAGTAACAAGCCAGTTTTGAAAATGTAATTAGTACAGATATTAGTGTAAAAACATAGGGGGTAGAAGTAAAAACTTAAAAACTTAAATCTGCACAGCACTTCTGTGTCTGTAGCTCTGGTTGTCTGGAAACCTGTGGCAAGTCTCTGGGAAGCGCCGGGTTGTTAGAGCATGTAAATCCTGCTGGACCACAAATTCTTGTTTTTACATTTCTGTTTGTCTAGGGATTAAAAAATTTAGAAATAACTTATTATTAGTGAGCGTTAGAGGTTCTAGTAGGGTGTTTCTGACCTGTGGAGAGAGTCAGGCTGTTGACCCTGTTTTCAGTTGTTAGACTGAGCTAGGCTAACCAGCTCCTTGCTCAAAGGTACCCAGTGGAGTGTATGACCCCCGGAGGAGCTATGGAGCTGTTTTTGGATGTGTGAGTCTCATGCACATGGCTGATGTTACACACGTTCCAGAGTTTCATTTCTTACTCTTGGCCGGACAAAACAAGCAACTTTAAGATGTCACCTCGAGCTTTGTGACATTTTTATTACTTATTATATTATTATATTTCTCACATTTTATCATTGCTGATTGATAGCAGGTGTTTTATGTGCATACACGCAGCTCTTACAGTTGTTTGTTTGCACACTGTGATAAACATGGACGCCAGTCTGCCATGAGATCTGAATTTTGATTCAAAAATGGTCTTTACAAATGTTTTATTAGGTAGGAAATGCTTTCACCGTGTTTGTTAGACCTTAAGCAGAAAGAGAAAGTGTTGTTTTACAACAAAACTCCACAGTGTGGCTGTAAGTGTCTTTAATTTAATGTTCTTCATGTAAGGGAGGAAAAGCTCAGTCCAGCATAGATGATAAATGTTTCCAGGCAGACAGACAGGCAGGTACTGAGAGTGACAGACAAATATACGTGTCCCCCTGTGCCCAGCACAGCCCACACCAAGCCTAAGCAGCCCCGCTAAGTCCGGTCCAGCCCAGTCCACATGACGAATGGCTCTCCTAATGGAGGCTGACAGGCTCAGTAATTAAGGCCCTCTATAATTGGACTGGGCAGAATCAAACGACTGGCAGCACAGCTCTGGTGGCTGACTCTGGAGGGATAGCGGGAAAAAAGGATGGAGGCACAGAAAGATGGATGGATGGAGTGACAGAAGTAAATGGACACACAAAAGAGGGATAGGGCAATATAAAGAAAGCCTGGAGACAATCTCACATAACAAACGCAGAAATACTCGATTTACCAGCGATATCATCACATTTATTTCTCTAAATTCACAAACCTTTTCCTCCATTTACTTAAAACCCCCATATCCCTGCTGTTACTGCTAGCTATAAATATCCAGAGACCATTTTATTAGCTACACCAAAGTAGCAGTGGGCAGCAGGGTCACACTGGGACAGTCATTCAGACACTTCCAACTTCAACCCTTTTAATTTGTACACTCGCCCACATCCAACAACGAAGCCAAATATTGATGGATGTCCTGAGTGTCTGGGCCAACCAGTAGCAGGGCTGCTGGCAGATCTCTCAGAGCTCAGATGGGCGTTCAGGATCAGCTGGGTCGGACTAACTTCTGTCTATCGGCCTTATGGAGCCCACACTGAATGGACAGCACAGTACAGCGTGGCTGCAGATTTTATTGTACACATTTAAGATGTCAATGTCCCTTTTTGGAAGAGAGGGAGTGGCGATGAGAGAAGCAAAAAGCGGGTGAATAAAAGGTAAATGGTAAGGATTTATATAGTGCTTTTCTAGTCCAATGACCGCTTAAAGCGCTTTACAACAGACGTCAACATTTACCATTCACACACACACATTCATACACTGACAG